CCCCCCCCCAATCTGGAATCTAGGCTTGTGGCTGCTGAGGATAAGGGGCACTTGAAGAGTCAGGCGCCTGGAGCCGGTCGGAACTCTTGGCGCTTTTTGTTTGCAGTGCCTCAGTGGCTTTCCTTGCCGGCAACCCCATCATCATGATGTTCCCCCTGCTCTCTGGGGTTTAGCACTTCAGAGGTTTGTAAGAAGCCGGAGCGCCCTCAGCCTCTCTGGCAACCCTGGAACGACCTCCACTGGCCACAGACTGGCTCGGGTTTGCATCCTCCCAGGGCTCAGGGTGCAATGGATCCCGGCGCACAGGGACTTGGACAAGCGCTCGCAGGCATCCCTCGCCTGCGGCACTACAGGATCACACCCGCTCATCAGAGAGACTCCTCTCTGTTCCTTTCCTTTGCGTCGGCGCAGGACAGCCATCCTTGTTCCTAACAAACCTGAGTACAAACAGAAAAAGTTCTGACGTGAGACCCGCACAGCCTAGAAGACTGCAGGGTCCAAAGAGGTTATCCCGGGCCAGGGGCGGCCTCAATCCCTTAGGCGCCACAGTGCCTCCGCTGGATTGCAGGATGCGTGGACACTGCTTGGCAAAGGGAAGACCCGAAGGGAGCTTTTGCAGAATGGACAGTGGCGAGGAGATGAAGTCACATGCCCGCCCCAGGCGGGACGGGACAGGGAACTGTGGTCATTAACCAGTTCCAAAGGAGGCATCTCCAGAGCTCAGGACGCGCGCGCACATCCACTGCGCCCCGCGGGAGGCTCGGGATGGGATGCGGTGCCCGTCCCGGGGCCCCAGAGGGCACGACACCCGCCATGCGCGACAGGCCGGAGTGCGGGAGAAGCGGACGTCGCACCTGGGAGCCCGAGTCCCCGCGCACCCTCTCCCCGGCACAACTTTCCCGGCCGCAGCCGCCCTTCCTTACCCAGATACTGGCGCAGGTCGAGCAGGAAGCGCGGGGGTCCCCCGCCGAGCTGATAGAAGAGGGAGCCCAGGCAGAAGAGCAGCAGGGTGGCCATGCAGAGCCCGTAGTCCCGGAGCGAGAAGCGCAGGAGCGGCGGCAGAGGCAGCCGGCGCCGCCAGCCGCCCTGGCCCGGAGGGGAGCCCCCGGGAGGGGCCCCGCGCGCCCAGGCTTCCACGCCGCCGCCCGGGTGTTGCTGCTGTTTCTTCTTCATCGCCCGCTCGGCCGCCGCGCACAGCCTG